GCTTTAGTTATTATTCGAAGCAACGGTTATTAAAGCAGTTAACATTCCACGATCCAAGAATCTCGGTTGTAAGAAATTAAGAGATGTGGTAATGGTAGCGATTGAAAATGGTAGTTTCATGACAAGTTATCCACGATTGAGAAAGTGGGTAGTTACAGGACATCGGACAGTTTCCAGGAGTTTTCAAACGGTTTTACAAGAGAAACTGTCAAGGGAGTATAAAAGAAAAAGAAGAATCTACAAGAGAAAAAAAGATCAAACCAACTCTCAAATAGAGAATTATGTAATTTCATTTCTTAGTTAACTTTCAATTATTTTCTTCTAGAATTCGTGTGTTTGCGCCTCTTGGAGGCATTTTGTTTCATCTATATTGTAATCTTTATCAATAAAGTACTCATCGTTGGGACTTTGTCTCGAGAGGTTGTTGTTCCTTACATAATCTTCTAATTCATCTTTTAATTGTTGGCGATTTCCACGTGAATAATATAAAAAAGGAATAACTTTTAATAATGATACACCACGTAGGAGTCCACATATGATGACTAGCACGTCGCTAATTATGAAGAGTACTACTTGACAAAAATGAATATCCAAAATCTTTCACTTTTGGGTACAATTGATGAATTCAATCATGTAAAAATAGTAGTACTTTCTTCATAATTCTCAAATGTATAGAATCCTTTACTGCAGATATTCTTATATAGATAGATATAGGTTGTGTTTTAGCATCGTGTTGAGGGCTTGGCCTATGTATTGTACTGCGTCTATATAGTAGTGTTTTAAGTACAAATGTCTGTAAATAAGTACTCAAATCTCTATTTTCTTTTTTATTGACAAATGAATCCTCAACTTCGACTTTTAAATTGTGTGAGTCCTTGTAAACAAATTCGATGAAAAATATACCGTCATCCAATCACTTCGATCACATTCATAAGAAGCTGAGGTTTCTTAATATGTTGGGTGGAATATTTGAGGACAAACAGTGTCCATACTTTAGAGGTATTAATGGATGAACATAATCAAGATTGAAGTGGGGAGAGTCAATGTCAAAAAAATGTTTCCTTACTTTCTTCTCTTAGTCAAGTCGTCGCCCATCGTCCAGTGGTTTAAGAAATTTTTCTTTCAAGGAGGTAGCGGGGATTCGAATTCCCCTGAGGGGGTAGGGTACTAATTCCCGACTCGTGACAAGAGCTGGGATCATTTTGAATGCAAAAAGTCTTCAACATTGTCATTCTTTTTGAAACACCAATCGACACTAGAGATAGGATCAGCCAGATCCCAAGTAGCTCTCATATGATATTTGAAAAAGGAACGGATATGGAAAATCGTTAAAAGTATTTTTCATTCAAAGTAGCTTGACTGTTGTGCCATTAGAAGATAGTAAAAACTAAAATTAACCCCAACCTGATATTAGGATTGTCGATTGACGAATTGCAATATGATGAATGTTATGATACAAGTACATTGAAGATCAACATCGAATTTGGTATACAATGATTAGATTCTTGTTCAATAGTTCAAATTGATTCGTAAGGATATGTTGAATATCAAGATCAACTCTGATTTGGAGTTGGAAGATCGCCTAGATGGCTAGATCCTTTCCAGCTTGATTAGTTGGGATTTGGTTAAATTTTAAATTGTATTAATTAGGCCCTATACTTTTTAATGTTTTTCAAACTCATACTGTTTTCAAAATATGGTATTTTTGTGCTATTATTTCGATTTTCTCTCATGGTGCAGCACAATTACCATTAAAAAATTTATTCCTCGCCGTTTCATTCTCACTTTCTATTTTTATATATTTAATCTCTGCAAGTTGAATACCCCCTTCCCTCCCCTCCGAACAATGTTGCACGTACATAATTTGTTTACACCGTTTTATCTTACAGATGACACTTGGCAACATTTCATTGAAAGTTGAAAAAAAGGAAAAAGCATGTACATATGGTTTTCTCCCATCTCATATAACTAATTGAAATACTTTGAATGTATTTAATTATAAAGAGTGAGTTTGACTTGCCAAATTTAGAAAGTCAAACTCAATCTCTAAATTTAAATATTAGTTTAAAGAGTCTCTTAAATCATAATTTTTTAAAACTGAATAAGAATTTTGACTTTCTAAATTTAAAGATACCTTTTATAGTAAATAAGATGTTCTTTATAAATAACGAGTTTACTAAAAATGCTCTTATACTGCTTGTTACTTCATTTTTGTAACTCATACTACTGCATCTTGTAATTATGAATCTTGAAAATAATATAATAATCAGTGTTCTAAAATGCGTAATGCGTTGCGATGCGTCGAGGCCGAGAATCAAGAATCACAAGTTTAGGCGTGTCAATGCGAAGAATAAGCGCCATAATGCGTTTCGTATTTTTAAGGTATTAAAAGCACTATATCTATGAAAGCAGTGTTCTAAAATGCGTAATGCCTTGCAATGCGTCGAGGCCGAGAATCAAGAATCACAAGTTTATGCGTGTCAATGCGAAGAATGAGCGCCATAATGCGTTTCGTATTTTTAAGGTATTAAATATATTTTTATATAAAAAAAAATTACCAAAAAAAAATATATTTTTGTTCTAAAATGCGCGTCTATGCGCGCGCATTTTCGAACAAAAAACCCAAAAACGTATTTTCCGCGTATTCCCCGAATTCGACGCGTTTTTCCACGAGTCGCGCCTAGGCGGCGCATTTGCGCGCCTTTTAGAATTAATAACTTGAAGAGACTAGAATCTTGAAAATAATATAATTATCAGATGATTCAGATTGGAGAATCAAACTCATTCTATATAATTAAATGAATTCAAAATATTTTAATTTCCAATAGAAAATAATAATATAATAACTTGAAAAAAAAGCTAATGAAAATAAAATATAGGGAAAACATAAATATTTTTTGAAAGTGTAAAATATAAACAGCATGTTGGAGTACTTAAAAATTTTTACTATCTAAATTTATAGATACTCTCTCAATTGCAAAATGTGCTCTTTGAAAATAGAGTCTCTTGAAAATGTTCTTAGATTTATCAAGAAATACGTTCACCCTTTCTCCAAAATCGCGTTCTTCCTCTTTCTCCACACACACTATCCAGCAAAAACCAGTTTGTATTTAGTTATGCTTCACTCCATTAAACTGTGTTTCTTCATATAGTTTCGACTTCCCTTTAGTCTTATCATATAAGATTTGTAATCATTTCCAGAATGTACTGCCCTACTTTGCTCTGAATTGATTATCTGCAAATCATTCTGCATTCTTTCACAGCTTCATGTTTTAGGCATGCACTAATATTAATGTTTTTGGTCATTGAATACTTCAAATTTTAATGTTTGTAAATAAAACAGTTACGGAATGGTTTGCATATAAATCATATCTCACCACATTACGTAAACCATTATATAAACTTTTCATGCACATGTAAAACAACCAATCTAATTTTATTAAACAATAGGATGAGCAAAATTATAATTTATTTATCTTTCTTTTTTTAGTACGGTCATATCCTAAAATAGTATAATGCCGTGAATTATCATCTTTTCCATTAATACCATAGCATGCATACAAGTGTCTTTAGTAGTTAGGATTTCGACTTAGTATTATTCAATTAAAATAGGATTTTGTTTGTTAATTATTTCTAAATTACATTTTTTCCTATTCTTTCCAATCACATTTTTTAATAAAATAATATTATACGTAAATTCCTAATTTTTTAATCATACATTCTCTATTAAAATATTATTTCAAAATACATTTTCAAAAAATATAATCATGACTCTCTTGAAGTGAGACTTGAAACTCTTTTTTGTATGCATTAATATTTTGGAATTTGAGGTGTAAAAAACTTCTATATGATTGTATAATTTTTTATTTTTCATGTAGCGAAGTATCTCTATATTTTATGGATATATTTTATGAAAATTCAACTAGGTTTGAAAAAAATTTCACATAAATCTACGTTTTTAATTTTCTCCATATATATATTTTAATTTAAAATAAATTCTCTTGATAAGGATCTTATGAGCAAATGAACAATTTGATCTCAATTCCCAACATTATTTTGACGTCCTTTATTTGAGATTATAATTTTTGAAATAATATTTTTTTAAAAATATATATATAATTAAAAAAGAAAAAACATTAACTAATATATAAAGATTTGAACTATTCTCATTGTCATTAAAACAAAACATAAAGTCCCAGTATGTTTACATTTTTTATTATTTGCAAAGGAAAATATTATTCATTTTACCAAACATAAGCTGATCCAATCACGACCGTATAATAAAAAACAGAAGATCTCGATCAATCACTAAATTTTCACAATTGTCTCTTGACTCCAAAATATAAAATATAAGAAAAACTAAGATTGAAAATAGACCTGAATTCACTTTTTTTTTTTTTTTTT